CACAATGATCAAACACCCATCCCTCCACCAGTACACATTCCCCAATACCAATATCACCAGTATACCCCCTTTCCCGACACTTCCCTGCCTCCATGGCAGACAATATTCCCCATACTCTCTCTCAACTTTTGTGCATTATGGTTTGCACTTCAGACACTGAGAGGTTATCAAGTTTGGTCCTTTATCTACTTTCTGCAAGATCCACAATACAGAACAGTTTCTCAAGTCATCATTTTCTTAGTGATCCCTTCTCTATTCCAGCTGCCTTCTCCCCTTTGCTCATGGGGCAGGCTTCCAGCTATGGAGCAATCTTCCTGTCCCATGTATCTACTATCCTTAGGTGTCAGACTCATGTTATGTTGTTTTATACTCCACAAATGAGTACAGTCCTTCTATGTCTGTCCCTCTCTTTCTGACTCATTTCACTGAGCATGATACTTTCCATATCTATCCATTTATAAGCAAAGTTCATGACTTTATCTCTCCTAACAGCTGCATAGCATTCCATTGTGTAGATGTACCAAAGTTTCTTTAAACCAGTCATCTGTTTTAGGGCACTTGGGTATCCCAGAGGGCCAAGCAGAGCTTCCAGATTTTGTCTATTGTGAACAGTGCTGCAATAAATATATAGGTGCAGATGTCATTTCTACTGTACTTTTTTTCATCCTCGGGATATATTCCCAGAAGTGATATTGTGGGGTCATATGGAAGCTCAGTTTGTAGTTTTTGAAAGAATGTCCATATTGTTTTCCAGAAAGACTGGACTAGTGAGCATTACCACCAACAGTGAAATAATGTTTTTTTTCCCCACATCCAGTCAGCACTGGTTGCTTTTGTTCTTTTGATGGTGTGCCAGTCTCTGTGGTGTGAAATGAGATCTCATTGTTGTTTTGATTTGCATATCCCTGACGGCTAGCGATGTGGAGCATTTTTTCATGTTCCTTTTGGCCATTTGTATTTCTTTTTTGAGGAAACTTCTGTTCATTTCTTCTCCTCATTTTTGTGGGGTTGGAGGTTTCTTTCATGTACAATTTTACTAGTGTCTTGCATACCCTGGATATTATCAGATGGGTATGGGGTAAATATTCTTTCCCATTCTGTGGGCTCTTTCTGTATTTTGGTCACTGTTTCTTTTGAAGTACAGAAGATTCTTAGTTTGATGTAGTCCCATTCGTTTATGTTTGCTTCCACTTGCAGAGTCAGTGCTGCCTGTAACTCCTTTTGATGACATCACTATATTGCACCTTTTAGAGGTTCTATGATATATATAAGGGGATCTTCGGGGCTCTCAAGGTGTGCACGTGCTTGAGGATTCCTGAGGCCTCTATGACATACACTTCTTCCATGTAATAAACTGCTGCTAAGACCAACCAGCTTGGCCTCGTTTCCTTCCTTCGCCTGACCATCACCATCAACCTCTGTGGAGTGGGGAAACGGCCTGATGGCCAGCCTTTTTATTTTTGTGTGTGTTTACACATACCTAGTTCGAGAAGTCAACTTCACCAATAACCTGGCACCTGAGTTGAAGAGAGAAGAGAGCGGCTTGGAACACCTTCAAAAGTGTTGAAAAAATAGCTAAGAGGATGAAGAACCTCTGGCTCCAGGCACATCTCTTCGACTCCACTGTTCTTCCTGCATTAACATATGCCTCAGAGACCTGGGCCCTATGAAAACAGGATGAGAACGCTATTCAGGTCTCCCAAAGAGGAATCGAAAGAGGTATGCTTGGAGTTTCAGGCTTCACTGAAATGAGAGAAAGAACCTGGAGTTCCGACCTCCATTGACAGTCAAGAATTAGGGATGCTGTCTCGTTTGCCAAGGCGTCAAAAATAAGATGGGCTGGACATGTAACGAGATTTGGAGACAACCACTGGACTAGAACCGTTACCGACTGGATTCCACAGGACATCAAAAGACCACGTGGCCGCCCACCTACAAGATGGTCAGACTTCTTCGTCAAGACCCTGAACGAATGGTTTGAGGCTCTTCGTGTTCCTAGAACGAACAGACGTCATTGTGCTACACTAGCACACGACAGGGAAAAATGGAGACGTTACTGGCGCCTGCTTGAACAAATCGATGATTAACAGGAAGTCAAGTGATCAAGTTGTAGTCTACGCATATAACATTCCAGCCCCACATGTCCTGCACCAGAGTCCACTTCCCTCTGTCTCTCAGGGTCCCACTTGAACTTCACCTTCCAATTCTCACTCCCCCTACCACGCTAAGCTCAGTTCTATAGAAGCTGACGGGCTGGAGCGATAGCACAGCGGGTAGGGCGTTCGCCTTACAAGCGGCCAACATGGCCGACCCGAGTTCGATTCCTCTGCCCCTCTCGGAGAGCCCGGCAAGCTACCGAGAGTATTCGATATGCCAGACACAGTAACAACAAAGTCTCCAATGGAGACGTTACTGGGCCCGCTCGAGCAAATCGACGATCAACGGGAGGGCCTTTACCTTTATAGAAGCTGAGAACTGGTTTACAGAACTGAGTTTAACATGGGATTGTTCACATTGAATCACATTTTTTCTTACAGGTAACTGAAAAGGCAAAATATTTTGTGAAACACAAAATTCCTAGCAAGTTTTCAAGGATGAATTCTCTATTGCCTAATACCAATAAATGGTTCTCTCAAGGGGACCAAATGGAATGAAGTAATTATCTTTCTCGTCTTTGTTTAATTTGAAGCTTAGATGGAGGAGTTATTCCCCAGAGTCTTCTCAATGATTATAAATTTAGAACACACACTGATTAGTCAGGAGTTGTAAACAAGTGTACTTTGATATATCTATCTTTCTTGGTTTTGAACTGACAATTACTCTCCCTTCTGCAATGTATCATTAAGCCTCTCTCGGAGACTCCGTATGCTTCATGGTGGCTTCTACATAAAAATGAAGAACTTGCCCAACTCATAGCTGAAGGTATTATGTGCTCACCACCTAAGAGGCAGTGGTGGAATGGGAGAATCACCTGCAGCAGTGAGATTTTGTGTGTATATATGTTGAGTGTATTTCTGTGTATGTGCATATACAGTGTACTATGGTGTTATAGCTTAGCTTTGCTATTTGTCATTCTGAAGTCTATGGATATTACCACATGGAATTATGTTTTGGTTGAGCTTCTAATCCTCTTTTGCTCTTCTTTCAACCTCCAATACATTGTTCATCCCCCCATATTTTATCCCAAAGTTGTAATTATATTCATCTCTATCTTCATCTCTAGTTCAAGTGTAAGTGGATGTCAATGTATACCTTAACTACAATATTACAGCCCCCTAGCAGCATTATTGATTTGCTATTTTGTGCCTTTGCTATGTGTTCAAACATAGTAACCAATGTAATATTTAAATTATTTTTTCATAACCTCACTTAAACCTTTCTGTGAGTGCTCAATTGCTCTGAAAATAAGATCAAACCTTTCCATTTTGACAGAAAAACACTTACATAATCTGCCTCATAGCTAATACTCCAATCTCAGAGCTTTCTCATGGGGACCATGCCCTGATTTTTTTCTGTTTCTCAACTCTCAATAGTCCTGACCTCTCTAAACCCATGAATAAAAATTCCATTTTTTACTTTCATGCAGAAGGCTTTTAATATTCAAGGTACATTTAAATATCCTTAATAACAGATTACTAACATATAATGTTTACTTAATATTATCAATGAACGTGTATCTCTCATCCAAAGCTATTTCTAAGAATTAATCCTACAGACATATCTGATGTGAAAATTTCATTAAAAGATATTATTAATAAAGATTTGCTATAATGGACATTAAAAACCACAACATTTTCATCAGAGTCAGCCTGTTAATTGTGAGTAACTGATTTGTGACGATGACTAGCAACACGGCACATAACTTTTGTGCAGGGAACCAAATGATACAGGGACTGTTGCGATTTACTCCATTAAGTTGAGAGAACTGCTAGCATGGAAAAAGTCCCAACGTAACTGATGAAAGTTATCATGAGGACATTTTTTTTCATTTCATATTATTTTTGTCACTTTTATGTGGACAAACACATGAGTTGCTTATTTCAAGAAGAGAGAGAAATGATACTGTTAGAATGTGTAATGGTTAGAACATTTTTAAAAAATTAATTAGAAATTACTGGCATAAATCTTGGTCTCATTTTTTTTAATGAGGAAAGAGAGAGGGGGCAATTAAGGATGATACTATAACACAAGGACATTTGTGGAGAGTTTCTGTGTACTTTGCTAGTGGTGAAGTGCAGTGGCATTATATGAAAAACCATGCAAGTTAAGACAAATGCAAATCTGTTACCTAAACCACAATAATAAATATAAAAAATTAAAACCAAAGAGTAATTAAACTAAAATAGCTAATAACTCCCCCTACCCAAAAGAAATAATGGTGATACATTGCAAATATTGTAGGAGTGGAAATAATTAATTTGAAGAACTAATCACAATATTACAAAGTATGTTGCTAGATCATTCACATTTTTGATCGATATTCTTGTTTCTACTGCCTTAGCCTGAATCAATGACAAAGAATGTTTCCATCAAGTCTCCAAATTTTGATGTCTGGATAATCCAAAAGACTCCAATTGGTTGTCTCACAAGTAAAATGCTTGGAAATAGAACATTAGCTAAAGCTAAACATTAATTTCATAGGAAAAGTGAAGGAGGGGATTATAGACGAATAAGGGAGTCTATTATATCAAGTAACTATTTTTGACTTGTTTGCACTCAAATGTCCTAATCTTAGATTTTAATAATTAACACTGAACCTACTCATTCTCTGATTTGAAATTTGTTTCTGATATTTTATAGTTTCTATGACAGAGATATGTTGATTCTAGCTTGACACAAAATATCTTGATGTCAGAACAAAGCTTGTCATTAGTGAAAACAAAAAAAGAGCCATAGTGGTTAAAAATAAAGACCAGATTTGTCTAAAACCATACTCTTTTCTGTGATAGACTTCTCATACATCCACAAAATTATCTCTCTTTCATACCCAGCAATTGAAGACAACGAAGATGGAAAACCAGAGCTGTGCATCCGAATTCATCCTCTTGGGGCTCCCCAGCTGGAGAGAGAAACAGGGCCTATATTATGCCCTTTTCCTGACCATGTACCTGACCACCGTGCTGGGGAACCTGCTCATCATCCTGCTCATCAGGCTGGACTCCCGCCTCCACACCCCCATGTACTTCTTCCTCAGTCACCTGGCTCTCACTGACATCTCTTTCTCTTCAGTGACAGCCCCAAAGATGCTCTTTAATATGCAGACACAGAGCCAATCCATCTCTTATGCTGGGTGCGTTTCTCAGGTATATTTCTTTCTATTTTATGGTGATATAGACAGTTTCCTTCTCACCTCTATGGCCTATGACAGGTACGTGGCCATCTGTCACCCTCTCCACTACACCACCATCATGAGTCAGAGTCTGTGCTCCCTGCTAGTAATTCTATCCTGGGTCTTATCCTGTGCTAGTGCCTTTTGCCACACCCTCCTTCTGATTTGTCTCTCCTTCTGTAGAGAAAACACTGTCCCCCACTTCTTCTGTGACCTCTCTGCCTTACTTAAGCTGTCCAGCTCAGACACCACAGTCAATGAACTGGTTATCCTCACGGTGGGAGTGGCAGTCATCACTATACCATTCATATGCATACTGGTCTCTTATGGCTGCATTGGAGCCACCATTCTGAAAGTCCCCTCTGCTAAGGGGATCTATAAAGCCTTTTCCACGTGTGGGTCTCACCTCACTGTGGTATCTCTCTACTATGGATCGATTATTGGCCTCTACTTTTTCCCCTCATCCAATACCTCTAATGAGAAGGATGTTGCTGTTGCTGTAATGTACACTCTGGTCACTCCCATGCTAAATCCCTTTATCTATAGTCTGAGGAATCGGGATATGAAAGGCGCTCTGAGAAATTTGTTAAGTAGAGCAATATTTTCACCACGATGAACATTCTATGCCCTATATCTGCCCATTTTTGATCGATATCTTGCACAACCAACAAGAATATTATTTCTTCTATGAGTTATTTTTTCATAGCAATAACTTGGCATGGCACTTTGAGGATATGCTTTAGTTTGTTTAATTTTCTCTGATAGCACAGCAGTAGGGCGTTTGTCTTGAGTGCAGCCAGCCCAGCTGAGCTGGGTTCGATTCCTCTGCCCCTCTTGGAAAGCCTGGCAAGCTACCGAGAGTATTCAATATGCCAAACACTGTAAGAAGAAGTCTCACAATGGAGACGTTACTGGGCCCGCTCGAGCAAATCGATGAACAACAGGAGGACAGTTTTCTTTTTATTTTTGTGTCATGTGAAAGGTTTATTGAAAATATGCCTTCCATATTGATTTATTTAAAATTACCTTCCAAATGATTCTTCTATATGTTTTTGTCCTTTGCTTATTCTGTTCGCTGTCCTACCTGCATTTTAATTTTCTCTGTGGTTACAAATTTCCATACATTTATTTATTTATTCATTCAGTTGGGTAGCTTTTATTTATTAGTTATTTTAGTCAATTACAACCTTCATGCCCAGATTTTTATTCTTTAAATAACAAAACTATTTTCTGTAATTTAAAAATTATGTCTTTGTTCCTAATTTTGTAGTATACACTTGATGTATTTTGTGTATGATTTTAATTTGAAATGGTTTTTCTGAAGTGTTTAATTTTAAAAAACAATCCTAGTTATTTGTCAAGTTATAGTCACAGTGATGATGATAGGATACATTACTTCATTGTCTTCTTACTTTTATTGATCTTGGCCACATATTGCACCTATATGGTTTTCATAAGAGCCAAGAAAATAGATGTGGTGGATCTGGGACTGAAGTCTGGTGCCGAATTCAAACTTGATTCATCTCCTGTGTGAGAATGGCTAACTGGTCAAAGAGTATGGTTACAGTAAAAATTTTTACAGTAAAAATTTTAAAGTGACTTTCCTAGTGATGAGATAGTTTTGGGACATCCTTCTATTTCCAATATGACATTCAGCTTTTCTTGTTTGTTACCAATGCCTGTAAAGAATATTAAGAAACCCAGGCAAGAGTTACATGTAGTAATTTACTTTAACTATGTCTGCATTAAAACCAAAAATTTACTTCTGCCCCCCTAATACATGCATATAGTATCCTCTGTTTTCCATTAAAATAGCTACCTGGAACATGATCAGTAGAATTCAGAATTGAAGTGACTACAGGGGTGTGAAGAGTACAGGACCAGGGAACAAAGGTACAGTGATCTTAAAACACTGGTGGAAGGATTGATATAGTGGAATTGTAACTTTATTTATTTTTTTTAATTTAATTTAATTTTTTTAAATCATTTTTTTATTAGTGAAACACCATGAAGTACAGTTATAGACTTATAAATTTTTGTGCTTGGGTTTCAGTTATACAATGACCAAGTACCCATCCCTCCACCAGTGTCCATCCTTCCCCACCACGGGTCCCAGAATCCCTCCCACCTCTCATCCCCCCCGTCCTACCCTCCCTCTGTGGCAGGGCATTCCCCCTTGTTCTCTCTCTCTTCTTTTGGGTACTGTGTTTTGCAAGAGAGGCATTGAGTGGCAATCATGTTTAGTCTATAGACTACTTTCAGCATGTCTCTCCCACCCTGGGAGAGTCCTCACAACACCCTTTATTTGGTGCTCTCTTCTCTATCTGAGCTTCCTTTTCACCTAGCACATGTGGCTGGCCTTCAAGTCATGGAGCAAAATTCCTGGTACTAATCTCAGCCAGGAATTGTAACTTTAAATAGTAACTTTAAAAAATCAATCACTTCAATGTTATTGTAAACCATGACACTTCAATAAAAATAAATTTAATTACTAGCTGAATTAATAAAATGATCAAGTTTTTTCTTCATTCTTGGGAAATTACCTGTGTTCAAGGAAAAAACTGACTTCAATGCTATATGACAATGATATGGCAAATATGTTCCTATTATTATTCTATGTAGTCTGATTAAATAAACAGAGGAAGTTCAACTTACAAGAGACAATTTAACTTGGTCAATCCAATAAACTAGAATAATTAAGTGCATTTTATTCTCAAACTGTGTGAAATTCTAAGTTCTCTAATAATATTTTAACAAATTTAGTAAAATTTTATTCAAATTTTATAAGTAGTGTGAAGCATATAATGCATAAAATGTAGTAATTATAGTTTAAATAAAAGTGTATTAGAGGCGGAGCAATATTTCAGTGGGTAGGGCATTTGCCTTACACATGGCCAACCTGGCTTTAATACCCTGGATCCCATATGGTCCCCCAGCACTTCCAGGAGTAATTCCTGAGCACAGAGCCAGGATTAATCCTGGAACATCACTGGGTGTGACCCAGAAAAACAAAAAAAAGTGTGTGAATATATTTAAATAATACATTTATTTATGTATATAATAGATATAATAATAAATACATAATAAATACGACATACAGTCACACTTCAAGGAAGACTAAAAATTCACAATCTCTAGACAAAATTAAAAGCATTTGTTAATCCCATTTTTATTCTCTTCCTCAATGGTATAGTCCATTCCTTTCATTTTGGAAATATATAATATTTTTTTAATAATGTAGTATTCCATTACTTATCCACAAGTCTTCAAATTTTTTAATGTTAGGGTACATTGATCCTTCCATAGTTTTTGCTCTACACATGCATACAAATGAAATGATGTTAGACTTGTTTTTCTGTGCTTCACTTTTTTTATGTAGGATTTTTCTTATCCTTGTTATATAATATTCCACTCTGAGATAATGACACACTTTATTATTCTTTTATAATCTTTCTTTGCTTAATTGCCTTTATGATCAATACTGCTTTATACATACTGACATATTGCATATATAAAAAGTATGTCTACAACCCGCACCCAGCGCCATCTTGCAGCACACAGCAGCAAAGAAAACTGGCCAGTGAGCTCCACAACTCCCAGACAATTCTTGGGCCCCAAACTGAGCTGATATCACCGGGAAGTCCCAGGTGCTGTCTCCCTTCCTTCTCTATATGGAATCCTGGAGACCATGAGCTTCTACAAGCATGGCTCCAGTACATGGGCACCAGGACTATTCTTCTGACATTTCCCGATATGCAAAGTGAGCAATGAAAAGTGAATGATCTAGCTTCTGTACCTGGAAGGCAGGCTTGAATGGTGGTGGGAAAATCTGAGCAAAATATAATGCCCAACCGAAATGCATCTGGACTGTGCATTTAACTACAGTGCTATTCCCCCCTGGGTGGGGAAGGGTGTGTGTCCCTCTGGCTGTCCCTCCTTGAAGTGGTGGCATGATGACCTCCATCTTTTAGAGCCTAATGGACAGCCAGGTATGAGACTGCATTGACAGGGCACACAGGGCCACGTGGAATGGGGGATGGAACCGGCCCTCTTCCCCATCCTGACAAGGCTTCAGGTTGCCACCCACAAATGCCTCCTCTGGCTCCTGAATGACCATGATACCAGAGGTACAGAAACCAATCTCAGAACCCAGGGGCTTTTGGCAGTAATCCCTCTAGCCTTATTACTAAAATATCAGAAATCCAAAATTACGTGGCCACTATTGCAGCCACACGAAATCATATGCTCTTCATAATCAGCAATAGAAAACAAGTTATCTAATGATGCCTTTTTGGCAGGTCTAAATTTTGGGGAAAATTCCAAATAATAATGTTGGGTCTTTTGTCGTAATATTGAATGTGATCTACATAGAGAGAGAGAGAGAGAGAGTAAAGTGGAAATCTGCCACACTGGAGGGAGGGTGGAATGTTGGGAAGGGGGAGTATACTGGGGTTCTTGGTGGTGGAAAACATGCACTGATGAAGGGACGATGTTTGATCATTGTATTGACTGATCGAGACTTGAACTGAAAGTCTTTGTGACTGTTCTCATGTTCTCAATAAAAAAATAAAATAAAATAAAGTATGTGTAAATTTTAAACACAGAATACTGTTAGTAGGCATGGATATATAGAACATAACTTTCACTGCTAAACTCTTTTTTCAGAGTTATTTTGAGAATACAGTCTGAAAAGACCCCATACTGTAAATTACAACTATATGGCTTCTGGAAAATGCAACCATAGAGAGAGTGGAAAGATCAGTTGTTGTCTCAGATACAGATAGAAAAGGTTGAATTCATAAAGAGAATATTTAGATCAATGAAACTATTTTGTATGATCTTATGACTATATACATATCAATATATGTTTTTCAAAACCTGAAATCCATAAAAGACAAAGTGTGAACTCTAAATTATAAACTTTCATTAATAAGACATCAGTATCTGTGTCATTATAACGTGTGCAATATGAAGTAATACATTAATGAGGAGAGACCAGGTTGGGTGGGCAAAATATATGAAAATTTTGTGATCAACTTCTGAATGAAAGATAAAAAAATGTACTCATATTCATTACTGCAGTAAACGCTTTTGATAAGAGTCAACACTAATTCATGGAACAGGTAGGAAATCAAGGAAAAAAATCAAAAGATACCTGGAAACAAATGAGAATGAAGACACAAGCTACCAGTACCTGTGAGACCCAGCTAAAGCCATGTAAAGGGAAAAATTTATAGATCAGCAAGCATACCTCAGGAAGGAAGAAAGGGACCACGTAAATAACTTGATCACACAGCTCAAGACCTTAGAAAAGGACCAATGAAAGGAACCCAAAACAGGCAGAAGGAAAAAAATAATAAAACTTAGAGCAGAAATTAATAACCGTTTCTTCTCAAGTTTTTCCATGAAATTAAAGAACTAAACCTACAATAATAAATGTATATGCACCTAATGAGGGACCAGCAAAGTACTTAAAACAACTACTCATAGACTTGAAGAAAGACATCAATAGCAACACTAGTGGGAGACTTCAACACCGCATTATCACCTCTTGATACATCAACCAGACTCAAGCTTAGCAAGGACATACTTCATCTGAGGGAAACAATGGAAGAG